CTCTGCAGGGTTTTCTTCTCCGAGTGAGTTGAAGGTTTGTGGATGAAGGTTTGTGGTTTAGGGTCTAGCCTAAACCCTAAACCCTAAACCCTACGGTTTAGGGTTTAGGGTTTGGACCGAGTGGTAAGAACCCTTTCTGGGTAACCGCCCCAAAGGACATCCCCACGAATCACCTCAACAGGAGGGAAAGTCAACGCTACCCTTAGGGCCCAAGTGGTTTACTTCATGAGTCCAGAATTTAAAACACGATCGGGAGACCCAAACTTAAACAGGTAAGGTTCGGAAACCCAGGAACCCTAAACCAGAAACCCTAAACCCTAAACCCTAAAATGCCACAAAATACCCTAAACCCTATACCCTAAACCCTAAAATACCCTAAAATACCCTAAACCCTAAACCTTAAGCCCTAAACCCTAAGATGAGGAAGTCACCGGCAGCGGGGTGCTCTCCCGAGCCAGGGCCTGATACCACATCATGAAGCCAGTGTCCTGGGCTAGGGTTTAGGGTTTAGGGTTTAGGGGTTTAGGGGTTTAGGGTTTAGGGTTTAGGGTTTAGGGTTACCACATCATGAAGCCAGTGCCTTGGGCTAATGGAAACTACAGGTGGGGAGTTTAGGGTATATTGGGGTTTAGGGTTTAGGGTTTAGGGTTTAGGGGTTTAGGGTTTAGGGTTAAAGGAAACTACAGGTGGGGAGTTTAGGGTATCTTGGGGCTTCAATAAGGCTTCCATAAGGTATATAGCCAGTGTCCTGGGTGTGGCTTGCACGTGGGTGGTTCTGCGGTTTAGGGTTTAGGGTTTAGGGGTTTAGGGTTTAGGGTTTAGGGCTAGGATCCCTTTTCATAAGGGCGCGGTACTATAGCGAATCCCAGAAAGTTGGAACGTGGGTTTAGGAGGATTAGTGCTAGGATCCCTTATACTCTACCTTAAGGGCATGAGGGTAATCATGTTCCAACCTTCTTTGCTTCTACTATGTGTTTCTGGTGCCTAGAAAAGGACCCTGATTTAGAGAACTACCCAAGTGCTAGGGGTTTAGAGGATGGCGGGCGCTTAGCCACAAATAATGCCGCAATCTTCACGGACTTTCGGAACTTGACCGGAGCTGCCGTCAAAGCTATTTTTCAAGTCGCCGGGCATGGTTCCTCCATGACGGCCCTAAATGATCCCTTTGTAGAAGCCTATGTGCTTCCGCAATTGGGCGCCAATATCCATAATGCTGACTGTAGGTAGCTCATGTGGCTCCAACTTACTCGAAGCTTGGTTAGACATTCCTGGCCGATGTGCTTTTTTGTCACAAGCTATCTCTGGTCTCAACCCACAAACCCCTAAAGACCTGCTGGATTACATCATAGATGCACTTACTAACGGCTACAAACGGCCAGCAGCCTACCATTTACGTAACTGGAGCATCATCGCTGTAGTTTCAGCCTTATCGTTCAAGGATTTAGGGTTTCAGGGGTAGCCTCTAAGCTGAGCCCTCAACCCCTAAACCCTCGCTTCTAAACCCTCAAGATCGTGCCCGTCAACGTCTCCTACTGCGAAGGAGCGCCTGACTAAGCCCTAACTAAAGCCCTCACAAGCAGAAATCCTACAAGCCCACAAAAAACTTGAAAAGCTTGCACTGTCAACTCTGTCTTAAGCTCTAAACCCGAAGCCTCACCACCTTGAAACTTATACAACGGCCAAAAGCCCAATGCGTGAACCCTAAACCCTTGAGCGTCCTAAAAAAGACCTAATCTGACCAGCATCCCCGGTGATGACGCAGGAGCCCTTCGCATGGAGATCGGTGATTCCCTTGCGGAAGGCGGCCTGAGAGAAATGCGTGCTAACGGGCTTACGTGGGTCTATACCGAATATGGTTTTCTTGTTAAAGCGATTAGCTCAGGCCTCAGCAATGATAGCATACTATGATGATACCATGTATATCCTACTATGTAAACTAGGTTGATGACCTGTTAACATTCGAGAGGAGTTCACAAGAGGGCCTTAGCGTATGGGCAAAAGATGCTTCAAGCTTCCCACACTCGGTGTAACACGTAAGGTAAACGCCTGATTCCTCAAGCGCCCTGAGTTTTTGAGAATCCCTGCTAGACCCTGCCCTAAACCCTAAGCCCTGATTCAGGGATAACATCGACATCGACGCCTCCAGTCCTACAGCTTCATCTCCCTAGCTCACATCCAGAATCCCAAACGTATGAACCCTGGGCCCTAAACCCTAAACCCTAAACTCTAAACCCTAAACCCAAATTCAGGGATTGGTGTTTACTGCGGTTTCGGAGTTTAGGGTCGACCCAACCTGACAATCCTGTTGGAGGCCCTTGCGCGAAGCCCGAAAGACCCTGACGAGAAGACGAACAGAAGACCATACTATAGGGGCCCTAACTAATCACCTATGCTATCTTGGGGGATTCCTTATAATAATTATAGTATGATATACCCCAAAACCCTTATTCTAATTATTGGATCCTCTATATTAACATGCCTTCGACCCCATGAGGGCCCATCACAAGAAGGATCCTGCAAAGATAGGCCCTTTCTCCCTCACACAAACCCCTGACTAAATCTACGACCTCCTGAAAGCTTTAGGGTTTAGGGTTTAGGGAACTAAGTTGTCCTTTAAGCCCTGTGAAAATTATTTACTATTATGGTTCTCTACAAAATAGTAAGGGAAATGAAAAAAGATCCCAAAAGACCCCTAAACCCTAAACCCTAAACCCTAAACCCTAAACCCTAAACCCTAAACCGGAGGGGCCTCCAAGTCCCCTGTGAGAGGCTCCCCCGACTGGCACTTTTGCGGCATGAGCCCGGCCACGACGCGATGCTTCACCTGCTGCCACCCTTTTCCCCAAACCCCAGAACCTAAACCCTAAACCCTAAACCCAAATCCCTAAACCCTAAACCCCAAATCCTAAACCCTAAACCCTAAACCTGAACTTGAGGGAGGATGGGGTCTAGAGCCGGATTAGGGTTTAGGGTTTACTAAACCCCAAACCCTAAACGGCTTGGGGGAGTTTAGGGTTCAGGGTCCGATTTGGTTTTTCTAAGGGTATTTGGAACACAGTGGCGTGGGTGGTGGGTTGAGGGTTTTGGGGTTGTGGGCTTTGCGGCGTTGAGGTTTAAGCTTCGGGATCTTCGGTTGAGGGCTGCAGGCTGACAGTTCTGGGTTTAGGGTTTAGGGTTTAGGGTTTAGGGTTTAGGGGTTTAGGGGTTTAGGGTTTAGGGTTTAGGGTTTAACGGGGGTGGTTATTGGCCCGATCCGTTTTGTACACAGGCGTGATTAGTGCTCGCCCGGCCAGATTCCCTGCAGCACATCGTGCTCGTGGCGGGATGCGCAAGGCCAAGCATTCGCTATCTTACGAGCCTAATGAAGGGGCCTTAATAATCACAATAGGTTTTTGTGGTTTTTTATACTATAAATATCATCAGGAACCCCCACAATAGTTCAGGTAAATATTACGGTTAAACCCTTATAGTACCCTTTATAGTAACCCCCTTAAAGGAACCCACCCTATGCTAATTATACTTCGGAACCCCCCAAATAGTATAAGTAAGTACTTACAGTACCCTTTATAGTAACCTTCTTAAACGAACCCTTAAAGGAACCCTATTCAAATTATCCTATATTACTCACTAAACCCCGAGGCTTTGGGCTGGCCGTCAGGACTTTCGATTCAAGGCCGGTCGGATTGATCGAGCATAGCCTCCGAAGAGAGATTTAGGGTTTAGGGTCAAGGGTCTAGGGTTTAGGGCTCAGGGTTCAGTGTTCAGGGTTTAGGGTTTAGTGTTTTGGGTCTAGGGTTTAGTGTTTTGGGTCTAGGGTTTAGGGTTTAGGTAAACCCTCAGCCAGCCAAAAGACAACGAATACCGTTTTATATCCTATCTGCGCACAGAAAACATCAAAAGCGCACAAACTTCTAGTGTGCCCGCTACAGTACTCTGTTCAAACCCAAAGCTTGCTGAAGTCCTCCAACATCCAATGAAAGGCCCGAAACTGCAACTCCTGTGGTCCTTTCCTGTACCCAAAGACTTGAACCCCAATATCGGTGTCTTAATATCTAGAATAAGGTTTTGGGGTAGTTTATATGTACAAGACTACATGAATCACACCCCGACATCTAGAACAACACCCTACAGCCTCAATCCCTTCTCCCCGAAATGCTTGAATCGTAACCCTCCCGAACCCCTCAATCGCAACCACTCTGAAACGTAAAGCCCCCTCCACACCTGCTGCTTTACCCCCTAAACCCTAAAAATCCACACCTGCTGCTGCTTTACCCGCAATACTTGAACCCCAGATCCAACAAAGCCCTATTTTCTCCAAGAAATCCCCGAAAACCCTGGACCCAGAAAACCCTAAAAACCAAAGGCCCCCAACCCTTTTTGAACCCAGACTCTGCTGATCAGCTGAACCCTAAACCCTCAACCCAAATCCTAAAACCCTCAAAGAAATCCTGCGGAGCTCTTTCCGTCCGACCCCTAAACCCTAAACCCTAAACCCTAAACCCTAAACCCTAAACCCTAAACCCTAAACCCTAAACCCTAAACCCTAAACCCTAAACCCTAACCGTCCGACCCCCCCAACCCCACCCCCACCCCCAAAATAAAAATAAAAAAACACCGCTCCTCGTAGTCGAAGCTGCCCGGATGATCGAAGCTCCCCGGAATCCTCCGATCTCCCCGCGGAAACTTCGGGCACGACTTCGGGCTTCGGGTTTCGGGTTCAAGGTTTAGGGTTTCGGGTTTAGGGTTTAGGGTTTAGGGTTTAGGGTCCAAGGTTTTGGGTTTCGGGTTTAGGGTTTCGGGTTTAGGAGGGTCTTGGGGTTAGGGTTTAGGGTTTAGGGTTCAAGGTTTAGGGTTTCGAGTTTCGGGTTTAGAGTTCAAGGTTACGGGTTTAGGGTTCAAATTTTTAGGGTTTCGGCGCTCCCACTCGGACGAGGGTTTTGGGTTTAGGGGGTTTTAAGGCGTGTTATAAAAGTTTGAATTGAAGGCGTGAGGGGTTTAGAAAGTGTCTGGTAAAGCTACCGACGGGAGTTGAGGGTGTGGGGCCTTTGGCGCGCCCCCCACTTGTCGCGTTTGAGGGCTTCAGGGTGTAAGGATTCCATGAATCAAGGCTGCCGTTAGGGGTGCCATTGGGACTTTGCGGGTGTTTAGGTTTTTGATGTTCAGAACCCTAAACCCTAAACCCGAAAAATCTAAGCCCTAAACCCTAAACCCCAAAACTCTAAGCCCTAAACCTTAAACCCTAAACCCTAAACCCTAAACCCTAAACCCTAAACCCTAAACCCTAAACCCTAAACCCTGGAGCCGAAACCGCCGAAACCTTGAAGCCGAGGCTCCTGATCCCTCACACCTGGAACAGTTAAAGCAAAGGCTGCAAGGGCCCAGGGGGTTTCCAGGGTTTAGGGTATTTAGGGTATTTAGGGTATTTAGGGTATTTAGGGTATTTAGGAAGTTTAGGGTTTAGGGTTTAGGGTTTAGGGTTTAGGGTTTAGGGTTTAGGTTTATAGGGTGGTTAGGTTTCAAAACTTAGGGCATCAAGCCATACAGTCTAAAACGATCTCATACCTAGAACCAGAATCCGCTGACACACGCTAAATAACAACGTCAAGGAAGCCTTTAAGACCCCATGGAGAAGCAGTGGGAACTCCTCCAACTACGAGTACCTCTTCCGAAACCATTCAAAGCAACCTTAACAAAGAGGACAAGAAGCTTAATATAGGGGCCTTGACAAATAGAATAGGGTTTGGGGGGGTAT